CTTGGACGGTTCGTTCATCTTCAGTCTTCACGACCTCACCGCTAGTCAAACTGAAAGATTTTAACAAAAACGTCATAGATTTGTGCGGCTGTTCCCCTCCCCCCGTGTCGGTTCCGCCCTCTTCCCCTGCGTGCTCGATTGCTTGCTGCCTCATTGGTTTCCGATTTGCACGATTTGCAGGTACGTGTTTGAGATTTTGAACATTTCGCTTTCGCTTTAATTTTGATCTTAATTCATATAGTTAAGATTTACTTCTTGTTTCCGATTCAGCTTTTTTTATTGTAAAATTTGAATTTATGTTTGAATGAATGCATAGACGCTGTAAAATTTATCCAATCTGGAAAGGTCATCTAAAATAGCAAGGGTTTAGAACAGAGCACATATAATACATAAATGAATTCATACACACTCAAGAAATGGAACTTCGATATTATGTTGGATAAGGAAATGAGACTTTGAGTTGCTGTCTCCTCATTGACTTCCCACTTCAATATCATGCCAAGTATCACATTATGTTTAGGGAAGCAATCTACTGCGGTCATCTTTGCACTATAAGGGAAAGGATTATAGGATGCAACTTCAAATGGGGAATGGTGGATTGCTAGGAGCCAGTTACATCCAGAAAGTGAGTCCTCATAAATCTTTGGGAGGTGAAGTATTCTGTCCTGGACAACATCGCAAATCAGGGATAGACTATGCTACCCAGTACAACACTGATAAGAAGGTTGCCTCAGGACAAGTAGCTAGCACTAGACTTGTTGCATTGAATTATGTTCAAAAGTGTCTGAGAAAGTTTCTCTAGCATCAGACTTAATATAGAACTACATTTCTGGAGATGTCACATCAAGTGTTGGTTATCATTATATCCTTTGGCAGTGTCGTCTAAGGTGGAAGATCGGCTCCAGCTGCTGTGTTTCTGCTTTCTTGGAAGAGCGATCGAACACGGGGCTTAATTTCATCCTTTCTGCTGCAATTGACCATAAAAAGAAAGATTACAAGTCTGGTTGTGGACTTGCAATATGAGAATAGTGTGAGGCTTCTTTAGATGTTCCTAAGTGCGGGCTTGTAGTGAAAAGACATTGAGCATCTTCCAGTTGATCGATGATTCTTTTCTCCATTTCCATTATTAGCGGGAAGTTTTGTATTTTATTCTTTTGACTGTGTCGAGTAAGATATGTTTAGGGTCAATTCCGAGCTTCAAGTGACTGCTTATTTTGCGTTTTTTGGAGATATTATTACATGGCAGTTTATAACTGTAGAACCTTCTGTTAATAAGATTGTTATTCTCGCTTTTGTTTATAATTTTGTATAAAAAGCAAAGTTTTGCTTCAGTACAAACATATGTTCTTCGCACTATCATTATATGGATTACAGTTTCGGTAAAAATGACACTCTTATTTCTAAACTTCACTAGTCCTTTTCATCTGTTATGAAGTTTCCTCCATTGACACTCTTAATGATTGCATTCTCGTTGTAGGCACATAGTAGCAAATAGGTACATGGAGATGCAAGGGTGAGAAGATCGACAAGGAAGTGAAGACAAAATTAAAGAAGAACCAAGCCATAGATGTAATAGATAAATGAATAAATTGTAATAAGAAATTATTTTATATGTATGTTGAGATATTTTTACATGTTATTTTTGTTGCTTTTTGTTGCATTGCACATGTTGCTTTTTGTTGCATCGTGTTGCTTTTTGTTGCATCATGTTTTTTTGTTGCATGATGTTGTTTATTGTTTTTTATTATTGTTTTTTATACGGAGTATATTGTTTTTGTTTCTCTTTGTTGCATTTTGTTGCATCACATGTGTTGCATCTTGTTGCATCGTGTTGCATTTTGTTGCAACATGTTCTTTTTGTTGCACTCTGTTACTTCTTATTGTTTATTGACGATTTAGATTTTTTGTGTTTATTTAAGTTTCTGTTTATCTTTTCTACTTCCTTATAACAAAAATATCCATTTAATTTTATAAACAAACACCTAAAATTATAAATTACGGAGTATGATTTATGAATATAAACAACAAGAAACATAAAGAAACAATAAGAAACAAAAAATTCAATTATAAACAAAAAGAAACAAAAGGAAACAAAAACTAACAATAAAACGAAAATTATAATTGTTTATAAATTTTTATAATTTTTTTGTTCTTTAACAAATTTCATAATTTTTTTTAAAAATATTATTTGTTAATATGTTTCAAGTTCATTATTTTAGCTTTTGACATTTTTATTTTATGAGTTTTTAAATTTTACTCTCTAGGTTCATTAGGTTTATGTTTTTTTTGTTAAATATTTTATTTTTTTCTTTTTTGGAATTTTTTTCATTATTTATAAAATAAAGTTATGTTGATTTTCTGAATATTTTAATTTATAAAATTAACTTTATTTTTAGAATATTTTGAAATTTTGTATATTTATTTTATTTGTATTTGTCTAATATGTATATTTGTAATGTTTTTAATATATATTTTTTCATTATTTATAAAATTATTTTGATTTTCTGAATATTTTAATTTATAAAATTATCTTTATTTTTAGAATATTTTGAAATTTTGTATAGTTATTTTATTTGTATTTGTCTAATATGTATATTTGTAATGTTTTTTTAGAATAACCACTTCTTCATACAAGTTTGTAATTACTTTTGATATTATTTAACAGTTTCAAATTATTTTTATCTAAATCGCACATGTTATTTATAAATTTAAAGTTTATTATATTTTTTAAACTATTTTAACCTTTTATTAAACTTCTGATTTTTTTTTTTGACATTTTATATATTTTATATAAATTATATTAATGATTTAAAGTAGCATTATAAAATTCATATTTTGAAACTTTTTACAATTTTCCCACATTTTAAACTATTTTAAACTTTGTCATTGTTTACTTTTAAGTTTTCCATATGTTTTTTAATTTTCTTATTGATTTTTTAAAATTTAAATTCATTAATATAATTTTTAAATTTTATAATACAGTTTTCCATCTCTTTGTAGTTTATCAATGTACGGAGTATAAATTTGCACTACTATTCTTTTATAAAAAGCATCACAAATTCACAAGGCCACTTTTGGCCTTTTGGGATTTAACCGTACTGGAAAATGCATACGTCCACTTTAGCTTCCGGCGGGTATTTGAAGTGCATGGGTCTATTAGTGAAAGAAAAAACTTACGGAACTTATTTTTGAAAAGGGTATTCAAAAATGAAAAAAGTGATATTATTTAAGTGTTTTGGTCTATCCGTGTAAAATACCCTATAAATAATCCTAACTTTTAATTTCTATGCTTAATTTCTATTTAAAAATCACTTGTTATTGGAGGTAATATATGATCATGGACCATTATTGGCGAGCCGTGCATATAGTTGGAATTGTACAAAAATAATCAATAGTTGGGATTATTGTCAGCGGATCAACAATAATTGAGATTATCATTTTCAATTTTTCCAAAAAAAAAAAAAGAAAAAGAAAAATTGGCTCGACCGGGCCCGAACCGGCCGGGCCGGTTCACCTTTTGAGGGGCCCGAGCCCGGACCGAAACCCCATCGGGTATGGGTGGACCGGTTCGGATTCGGGCCCGGTTCGGGCCTGGGCCTGGCCGGGCCTCGGTTCAAAAATGGGAGGCCCGGAACCGGCCCAGGTAATCCCGGGTCCGGGCCGGGCCGGGTAGGGGTGGACTCGGGCCGGTTCGGGCCTGGGCCCGACCGGGCCTCGGGCCAGAAATCTAGGGCCCGGGCCCGAACCGCCGGTGGGCGGTTCCGGTTCCGGGCCAAACCGGGCCGGGCCGGGCCAACCAGTCTATTTTTTTTTGTTTTTGGTTCTCCTTTTTAACCCCCTACCCCTCCCCCTCAACCCCAAACTACCCCAAACCACCTCAAATGGCCCAAAATACCTAATCCAACCCAAAACTTAAAAAAAATTCAAAAAAAAAAAATAAAAAATAAAATCCGGCCCGGACCGGGCCCGAACCGGCCGGGCCGGTTCACCAAAATCAGGGCCCGAGCCCGGACCGCCATCCCACCGGGCCTGGTGGCCCGAACCGGTGCACCAACCGGTTGACTGGGCCGGTCCGGGCCCGCACAGTAGCGGGCCGGTCCGGTTCCGGGCCAGTTGGCCCGGCCCGAGTCCACCCCTAGGGCCGGGCCTTGGTTCTATTTTTTTTGGCTTTTCCTAATTAACCCCCAACCCTCCCCCCTCACCCCCAATTCCCCAAACCACCTCAAATGGCCCGAAATACCAAGCCCAACCCAAAAACTTAAAAAAAAATTCAAAAAAAAAAAATTAATTAATTTGGCCCGAACCAGGCCCGAACCGGCCGGGCCAGTTCGCCAATCAAAGGGCCTGGGCTCGAACTGCACAGTAACCGGGCCGGGCCGACCCGAACCGCCCCCCGGACCGGTTCCCGGGCCGACCGGTTCAAACAGTAACTGGTTCGGGCCGGTTCCAGGGCGGGCCACCCGGCTCGAGTCCACCCCAATACTCCGTATATGTATTTAGAAGTAGATAATTAGTATATAAGTAGACATAATAATTTTATAACTAATTTAAATGGATATGAATATATATGATATATATTAATAGGTGTAGAAAGAATTGGAAAAGATGGAGATGATTAGAGTAGAAAGAATTAGAGAATATGTGCCGGAAAATGTTCAGAAAATAGGTAGATTTATAGATTTTTTTTGTACCCCACCCCAAACCCGTAAGCCCCACCCTCAAACACCCCAGACCCCCTCAAACGGCAATAGAGTTGTTTGGCAATGGGTAGGAGCTGCTATGCAGCCAATTCACAGCCAGTAGCCCGCCCCTCTCAGTCTCTCTCCCGGTTTGGGCCCCAATCTCGTTACCTGCACCAGCCGGCAGGCCAGGTTGGGGCCTGCACAGTACCGGGCAGACCCAAACCGTCCCAGTCCATCCCTAGGTATACCAGAAACTTGCTAGTGGGGTCATAGCTGCAATAATAACATAGTCATGATGAACGAAGAGAAATTTAATGTTCAACGCATCTTTCCTGTCCAACAATGATACGTAAGACTTCGCTATTTCACTGAAATACTCAGATAAGTCATGGCTGCAATCGTGATTACAGAACTTGAAAGTGCTAACTAGAGTCCAGAATGTTTACAAGTTAACCAAATAAAGTTTTGCTTCCAGAAAAGTAGGGAAAAACAATTCATTTAAACTACTGGAAATTAGTAGGAATATCGAAGAACATAACTTCAAAACAGTCGTTTTGTCCCAAACATTTTATACCGTTGTACAGCCTACCATGTCTTCATCAGTGGTGATGGCATCGTAGTCTATGCAACTCCAGAGAGGAGCCATAGATTCCTTTTTGTCCCGCCACTTCCTTTCTAATAATACAGACAATCACGATGAGGGTGACGAATGGTATTTGGGCAATAGAGACATCCACTCTCTACAATAAAACAAGACAATAACGATTCAAAACAATGACAGACAAGCCAACACATTAAGATGCGATTTTAGATGTTTTCATGCCAACAAATAAAATCTCTTATATTATAGACAGGTCTTGTGTTATGTGTATTTCACTATCGTCCAAGTCTCATAAGGTCTGATATGATAATAGTTTGTTATTATGTGTATTTTTTTTTATTGTCCAAGACTAATGTGGTCAAGTCTCTTATGGTCTATCGGATAGAGGGGAGCTTACTTCACTTGTTGTGAATGCGGCCGATTCCACTTTCCGAATAGTGTGAAACCAATCTGACTGAAAACATCCAATAATAATTTATCCCACCAATAGAAAATGGAAGCACCTTCTACCTATGAGATTAACGGAAAACAGATATTTTGATGATGCCTTGTTGTGTCGATTTAGTCATCATGCACATTCCCCACTAATGAAAAAAACTTGTATGCTGAAGACTGAAATTGAGTCTAAATTTGGTGGACAAACAAAATTATCCTGGCTATTTACAGCCAAATAAATCAGATTGGGTAAATAAATCATAGTTGATGACAGGTTTACATGTCATAAATAGTTCAGAACCAGATTGAGTTAGTATGTAGGTGAGGGACTACATGACATATATACCATAAAAATATGATGTGGTCCTAAAAATGTTAAACAAACGTATCAATAGAAGCCTGGTCAAGTCATAGGAACCATTAGAGCAGTGGTGTGACCAAGTTAAGCAGATAGTTAGCGAGCCACTCGGTCAACGCCACATTTGGGTTCGACCAAATTCAAACCCAGGTCAGCTCTCTAAATAATAATTATGGGTGTCCGTGTACATATGTGTGTGTATGGGGAAAGAAAAGAGCAGCATTACCATTAAGAGTAAAATACTCGATCAGGGGTAACAATGTGGCAAGCACAGGTTTATTGTCATCCCCTAGATAGACTTCAGCAAACAAGATCAGGTCTTCGTAGCTACCATCACTGTTGCGGCGCCTAGCCACAAAGTTCATATGATCCCATATTGTATACTTTTCTCTGAAGTCCATAGAAAGACCCATGCATTCAAAACTATGGCGCTTCACGGCCTTCACATACTCCAACTTTGTTTTGTGCTTGTTGTTGTAATCTTTTAATGCAAATTTTGCCAAAGAAGCAAACCCCTGGGTCTGTTTTTGGGTCGTTGTCTTTTGAACAGACCTGCAAAATAGTTATTTACTTAAGAATCCCTTAGTGACCTTCATCGAAAGCAATGCAACTAGAGAACAATAAAAGGGGTTGTTTGACTGCAGAGGATACCAAACATGTATGGACTATGGAGTATTTACTACTGTGGTTGGATATGGAAACTACGTCCTTGATACATCCTATGGAAGGACAATCAAACCGTAGAGAGCAGATCTTCTGAATACCATATGTAAAGAAGCTTGGAATATACTCCCTCCATCCCTTAAAACTTTGCCAACTTTTCTTTTTTTGTTATCCTATTAACTTTGCTACTTTCCCTTGAGCAAATAATTTGTGTTTTCAATTAATTAGTTTTGTTTCCTCTGCACAAATCTCAACCATACAGTTTTTATTTTTTAATCCCAGTGCCAGTCAAACTTGGCCAAGTTTTAAGGGATAGAGGGAGTAACTTTTAGTTTAAAAATGGGGAACTATTAATAATTATAAGAAACTGATGGAGAGTAAGAGAGTGTTCGTTGTTGCTTACATGCTTCTACTTTGAAAATGTAAAAATCCGGTAGTGTTTGAAAAAAGTGATTTTGAAAAAGTAAAAGTGAGGAGTGTTTCGTAAAAATTGTACTCTTTGTGCAATAGAAAAAGCGAAAAGCGCTTTAAAGCAACCTTCCACCTGCTTCGAGCTTTTAGCTTTAAAGTGCTTAATTTAGACAGAAGCTATCACTTGAAAACACCAATTTCAGCTTTTTCAAGCTAAGAGCTAAAAAAGCATTTTTTTGATCTTTTGCAATCGGTCTCCAAGTACACTCATACTCATATTACTACCGGCATGTATGAATACATAATGCAGCTAAAACCCCTGTGTTGAACTGGGTCCAGATCCACTGAACATTTACATTGTGGTGATAGGTTAAAGAAAAAAATTGCAGAACGATTGCAGTAGGTTGAAGGAAGAACAACTTCACAAAACTGTGAAGGCAGTGTGTTAATCTGAGCAAAAGAAGGAAATTACTGTCAAAATAACTACAACAATCTGATTTACCAGACCTAGTTCTGCCGATGCTGTCCTTGTCCTCACGTCCTTTCATCAGACAATTATGCATGAAACCTCCATGAAATAAATGAGACGGGTGCCGAATGCAAGATGTGCAACGAGAACAACCAGACTCTGTACCGAACCCATTACTTAAAACATTCAGAACAATAATGATTAACCAATCAGGATAATCTGTTATAATTGTGTTTCTCTGTTACTAAACATTGCATATTTGGAAAACTACCGGGGCGGAACAAATTGAAGCAATTTAGGGAAAGAAATGCATTACCGTTCCCCATAGGTTCAACAAGCGACAATGTAGTAAGAACATGCTCTTCTTCTTCTTTAGGACAGCCTGAATACAGTTCAGCAAACAAAAGCAGTGGTTTGTCGCTGGGATTGGCGTCAGGGTGTCTAGCATAGAAGTTGATATGAATCCAGTTTTTGTATCTTTGGTGAAAGCCCACAGTACAACCACGCCGGACAGGAGAACTTTGGTAGCAAAAAATGCTAGAAAACACCAAGCATGTTCCCTAGTGCCTCAATCAAAAGTGTGTGAGTCAGTGTGCGTGTGTGTGTATGCATGTATGTATACACACACACATGTGCACAAATGTCGATATACAACTGAATTTTCAAAAAACATTACTCCCACTGTTCTCTATCAAGTGTAATGTTAGACCTTTGCATAAAAATAATTGGAACATCAAAACTTTCTAAGTTTTATTCTCGGTTTGACGTTGTCAAAATTATTAGGGACAGGGTATGGAATGGTTGAGGATTATCTAAAAAGAAAGAAACGATATATTAATAAAATCATTGTTTTCCTCTAAAGGAAAACTGGAAACATGAAGAATGTTTTGGTAAAAGTAAAAGGAGGAAATGGTGAGAAAATTATTGGAAAGGAGGGAATAAATTATGGAGATGGAGAATCACACAACATTACTTCTATCTTGATTTTGAAAAGACGTCTAGTTGAAAACATATTTAATCTCTCTCTCCCCCCCCCCAAACCACTTACTAAAGAACATGTGGAGTAATGAATAAAATAAATACAAAGAGATATTAGTTCAGAACAAGAACATGTTTATCATTGTAGTCTCTTAACGCGAATTCTGATAATTTCTGAAATTTTTCATGGAATTGCATTCTTTCCCTCTGAATTTTGGTTAATCTCTTTTGAGTTGAAGGTTTGCTGGCAGCCCTGCATAATGCAATACCAAATTCAATTATTTATTGAAAGTATCTATTTACAAGAGTAAATAGAAGCTCCAGAGCATAACAATGTACAAGCGATTTATTATCACGTAATATACATCTGCAAAGATCTATATATTAGATGATGACAGCATGGTTTTAAAAAGCGTTTCGCTTTTACGCCCTTGAGGCGCAAAGGCGCAAAGGCGTTCATTAATCGCCTGTAAGTCGTAAGCCTTACCTCCCGTTAACAAGGCTTACGCCTTTCTTTTGCTGAGGCGTCGAAGTGGGCGGTGGGCGCAAAGCGTAGACAAGGCGTACGCCTCTAATTCTATGCAAGTTGGGCTTATTTTATTTATTTATTGGGGGCCTTGTTTTATTTTCCATCGTAAATATCTAGTCGCGTCGCTTGTTTATCAGTTAGTCGACATCCCTAGTCCTCGCATATCGCTGTCTTCAACTATTCTACGATATTAGCAAGCAACAACTTGAAGAGCTGCTAAGTCGAAGCTCCAGTACAAAGACTTCAGGAACTGCTTCTTGCTTTGTCCAAGTAATATATTATAAATAGCACCGCCCTCCTTCTATAGTTTCTTATGGTTTTTATTGTTTTAACTTTTAATTATTTTTATCTAAAGTTTTAGATATTTAAAAGTTCATTTTTTGGACTATTTAATACCATCATCCCTTTTTTATACGAAGTAACTAATTAACTGAATTAAAATTTTATTTAACGCTTTTAGACTTGAACTACTATTTTTTCTTCCAGAGTATTAGTCTGTGGGAGTACTACTACTTATTCTGCCGGAGTAGTCTAGGGTCAATCTGATGTTTGTCTGTTTTTAATTTAACACTATAAGTTATTACTTATTGTTATATTTATTAGCCTACGGCCTAAACTTTAAAGTTGTCATACAAAACTATCATTTAGCTTAATAATTATTTGCTTAATACTCTGTATTTACTAGTTTGCTTGACTCGAGATTTACAATTTAATTAGAAATATTATATTTAACTTCATTAGAATTTAGTTGTATACTTATTTCATTTTTACTTGTGATTTTGTTTAGCTGCACTATTGTTATGAATCATCTAAACTATTGTTATGCATTTAATTTCGAGGCTTACGCCTCATTACGCCTCGAGGCTTACGCCTCGTGAGGCTACCACTGAACGCCTCGAGGCCCGATTTCGCCTTTCAAAACCTTGGATGACAGTTATGTTTTTAATGGGGAATAACTTCACATGATCTTGAGAAGCAATTGCATGTCAGGCATGGATTCTGAGGAATTGATACTATACAAGCAAACGCAGCAACAAGTAATGGGCTTATGGATGTAATGCCTTACTCACCCTTTAAATATCAACACCTTATTAGTTTTGTCAATGACACTGTTACCAACTGTTCCTTCAATGGGTCGGTTAATTAACAATTCATATCTCAAATTAGTCCTTGGAACAACTAGTGTCAAAACCGAAAATATGTAAAGATTAAAAAGGCAACACATAAGCAGACATATAGTTCATAGCAGCAAGATAAACTTACCGCATATGATTCACTTTAGTCTTCTTTTGGCGAAGTGTACTTGTGCGCTTTCTTTTTGCCATCATTCAATTAGACCTGTACACTTAACAAAAACAACAAAAATAAATACCACTTAGGCTTCCTCAAATCACATTATATGTAGCATAATAACCGTAGTACGGTGGCAGTATCCATTTGTTGAACTCAAATATACAATTAATTAATAACCTAATAATGCCAATTTGTTTAACCCAAATTCAAAACCGACGTCCAAAATACCTATTAAACTGATATTATCAATTTTTTTGCTTGAGATATTATCAAATTTGTTAAACTCGATTACAAATTGTCCAAACCTAATAATAAGTAATAAATAATATCCTCAGTGGAGAACTGAAGAAGATTTTCAGTCGCGGGACTTGTACCTGACGTGGTTCGTTCGTTGGTTTGATGGCTTCGTACGTTCTTCGTTGGTTGCCTAGTTCGCTCGTCGTCGTCGAGATCGGGTCTGGAGAAACCTGCACTCTTTCCCTCGTGAATCGTAAGAGGGTAAGGGTTACGTTAATCGGCTGGTGAGTGGGCTATACAAATATGATTAATTAATGAGAAAAGTGTCGGTTCACCAACGCTACACCAATTGTCCAAACGCGAGCTAATTTGGTACCTCAGCCCATTACTTCGGATAAAACGCTAAGGTGGGCAACAGATTACTTACGTGGCCAATTTAAACATGTTTGTTAGGTACATAGTGGCCTCCAAGTCAGCGTCCTCCCTCCTCTTCTTATATACAAGGTTGTTAAAATCGTATTTTTGAATCGAATCGGTAGATGTTTTTAAAAATCAAATCGTAAAATCGAATCGCAAATCGTAAGATTTTACCAAACATATTTTAATAATTATAAAATAAATAAATAAATATTAAAATTAAGTTGCAAGTTAATGATATTATATCATTTCATTACATAAAACTATATCTAAAATGTCAAAAGCAAGATTTATAAACTGTTTTTATAATGTAAATGTATTGAATAATAACATTAAACATATGTAAAACATAAAAATAATTAAGTAACACAAGAATCCATTACTTTTATAAATAAACTATTTATATTGTTATTATTGGAATTATGTATCAATTTGTAGTTGTTAATTTTAATAAATTTGAACCATTTTCACCAAAAACAACTTATTACGATTTTGCTACGATTTTATACGATTCTACACGATTTTAGAACGATTTTTTTACTATTTTGTACGATTTTATGACTTTACGATTTTACCTGCGATTTGAATCGCTTTATTAATGTAGAATCGTAAAATCGTACGATTTTACGATTTAAATCGAGATTTTAACAACCTTGCTTATATATATGTTTGTTAGGTATATTGCTTAACGTGAGAACGTGAGAACACCACTTTTCCCCCAACGTGTTGCACAATGAAGCTTGTATGTTGCACGTTTTCACATTTTTACAGTATTTACCTGTTGAGGTTTATTCCTTCAACCCTCAGGTCCAACACGTAAGCCCAAGAGTTTCGAGTGGATGGATGTGTGAATAAACTAGCCCAACTACAAGTGCGATGGATCAAGAGAAACAGGAAAGTAGCAAGTAAGTGATTAGGTATTATTATCTCTTAATAACTCCATAATGCAATACTTTTCGCTAAGGCACGTCGGCCGTTCGTCTTACAAGGCAGTAGAAGTGCTGCGAGTAAGAGTGTTATAGCTAGAGTGCTAAGAATAGAAAGTTGTTAACCCCTTTCAATGAAATAAATGCTTCTATTTATACCACCAATGGGCAGTTGGCTACGCTGACGTGGAGGACTGTGGGTGGCTGGTATCCCAGCCACCAAATCTTCAACATTAAATGCACTTCCCGCCAGAATCTAGGTTTCCCGCCTAACTGGTGGGGACGTTCGTCCGGCCGGGGGGGGGGGGGGGGGGGGTGAGTTGCTCCTGGTGGCTTGCAAAGGGTATTGGGCCGTTCATCCCCTGGCCCTTGGTGATTTTCGCCATGTAGACCGGATTGCCTCCAACGGCTATGGGCTTGCTCTGATGTCGTTTGTCGTCATTCTGATGGCCCGTGGGCCTGCTCCTTGTCGATGGCATAGACGTTCGTCGGATGGGCCCCTGAGCCTGAGGCTATTCTTCAGACGTTCCTCCGTATCGAGTAAGTGAGCCTGTCAGGTTAGCCTAGTGACCTATTTGGACGTACGTCCGGAAGAAGGGGTAAATGGGCCGAACCTCAGTTTGGGCCATTAACCCAACACAAACAGCCCAATACCCTTTGCAAGCCACCAGGAGCAACTCACCCCCCCCCCCGGCCGGACGAACGTCCCCACCAGTTAGGCGGGAAACCTAGATTCTGGCGGGAAGTGCATTTAATGCTGAAGATTTGGTGGTTGGGACACCAGCCACCCACAGTCCTCCACGTTAGCGTAGCCAACTGCCCATTGGTGGTATAAATAGAAGCATTTATTTCATTGAAAGGGGTTAACAACTTTCTATTCTTAGCACTCTAGCTATAGCACTCTTACTCGCAGCACTTCTACTGCCTTGTAAGACGAACGGCCGACGTGCCTTAGCGAAAAGTATTGTATTAGGGAGTTATTAAGAGATAATAATACCTAATCACTTACTTGCTACTTTCCTGTTTCTCTTGATCCATCGCACTCGTAGTTGGGCTAGTTTATTCACACATCCATCCACTCGAAACTCTTGGGCTTACGTGTTGGACCCGAGGGTTGAAGGAATAAACCTCAACACTGGCGCCGTCTGTGGGAAACTGAACTAAAAGTTTCCAAAACTCTCCCAAAACAGCTACTAAATCTACCCACAGCAAGCACGATGGCAAGGAACAATCAACAACGTGACCTCTCTGAGCAACTGTCTCGCGGACGAAGGAGCCGCAGGCAAACCACGGAACGCTCTGAGACGTTGGGAACTACTGGGGGCGATGGTGGCCTCACCAGCCTCATCCCCCACGAGGCCAGACGCGACCCTCGACTCATGAGGGAGCTGGAGGAAACTATGCGCCGAATGGCGGACGAACAGGAGGCAGATGAGGAGGTGTACTCAGCTAACACAATCTGGACACCCATCTCCCCGATCCATCACATGCAATCCCTAGATGAAACGGCGGAATCTGATGGGCGTCGGACGCCCGTTCACGCAAGGTTGGGCCAAAATCCGCCCTCCCACGGAGCCAGGGGGCACACCAGCGTTAGTACCCCCCACTATGGCTGGCAGGACGATCATCGGGGACGCACGCCAGGTGTTCCCTCAGAACGTCAGGATACAGCGATCACCCCCGCTGCCAGCAATATTGGACGCCGCTTCCAAAGGCGGGGCGCCAATATCACTCGAAGGCAACCCGACGCGGTTGCACCACGAAGGAACATTGCGCTCGAGGCCGCCCCTCCTGTGTCCCTGGAAGGGCCGCACAGGAGGCCCGGCTAGAGGCAATGGAACGGCGAATAGCCGAGATGGACAGACGGGCGGAGGCCACCCCGGCTACGCCTCGATTCTCCCTCACCTCACCATTTACTCCGAGGGTCATGAATGCAGAGATCTCGCGGGACTGCAGACCGCCAGGAGGGATAGTATACAATGGGACCGGAGATCCCAAGGCTCACTTGATCAGCTTCCAGGGGAACCTCTCCATGCTGGGAGCATCCGACGAGGCCATTTGCCGGCTTTTCTTCAGCACCTTGAGGGGCCCGGCGCAAGAGTGGTTCGGGCAGCTGAGACCCGGATCCATTGACAACTATGAGCAGCTATCCCAGCAGTTCATGGCGCAATTCGCCGCCAGCACCACCCCCAAGAAGAGCTTCACATCGCTCACCAGTGTGAAGCAGGGGAAGGACGAACCTCTGGCCAAATTTCTGGTCAGGTGGAGAGACGAAGTGCTTCAGGTGGATGACCTGGACGAGCGGCTGGGAGTGAACATGTTCACCAACGCTTTGGCAACGGGGGACTTATACCGGGACCTCCGGAAGAACCCCAGCACCAGCTACACCGAGGTGTTAGCTCGGGCACAGAAGTATGCCTCTATTGAAGAGGAGATCAGGTTGAGGGACGGCGCGCCAGCAGCCCCTTCCCAGAAATTATCCGACAGACTCAGCCCCGGAGGCGACCCATCCCCGGAGGCGACCCATCCGAGCCCTGTGGAAGTAGAGCCCGGCCTTGTCCAGAGTGCTCTGACCACACTCCAAAAGATCTTCAGGGGCCTCCTGGGCGGCGAAGTCCTGAGGGACCTTGAGGTTGAGACCGCACCAGATAAACGACGCGGTCTGACCGAAGAGCATCATCGACTCTTTGCGGGGACCAATCCCGGAGAATTCAATAAGGCCAAGGGAGGACCCATTGGTTTCCGGGGGTGAAGGAGGACGAACGTCATCGGAACCTCTAGCAGTCCGAACATCCTCATCCCGGAGGCGACACACGTCAGAATTCCGTGGCGGAGAAGGAGGGGGCTTATTCCGTGAAGTGGGTTTCCGCTTAAGGGGACTCCCGGGCTCGCCATTGGAGTCGTCAGCCACTATGATGGCCTTGGAGGCGGTACCATCGATGCACGGCCTCTTTGAAGCCCCAGCCTCCGACGTATCATCAGCCCGTCCCCTACTCACCCGAGATTCGGTCTTGGGGACGAGCGGCCTTCTGCCCTTTGTCCTGATCCTTGCTTTCACGTCCAGGGACAGTCAAAGCATCGTTGGTACGTCCCATGGGTAACGTAGATGGGAAAACGCCTGCAGGAAAGAAGCCAAGACGTTCAGAACCGTAACAATGAAGAGACGATAAAACAATACAAGTACAAACGGACGCACCTAATCCAGCCCGAGCTTTAAAAGGCTCGGCCACCAACAACCGAAGGTTCTGGATGCCAAGTCCGGCTATGCGCTTGGCATAGCCCAGCTCCTCATCCGTCATGGGCGGAGGAATTGACTTCACTGGGTAAGCATTCCACCGGTCAGGAAACGACATCGGTGAGCCTACTCCGGCCAGAAAGAAACGCTCTTCCCATCCGTCCGGATTCCCAGCGTTGTTTGAAAACAGGGCCATGGACGGACGGGCGATCAGGGTCAAATACCCCGTACGTCCGAAGGGGGACAGCCGGAAGAAATGGTGTAGCAAGTCTACGGTGGGAGTCACGCCGACGCTGTGGCATCTAATTATAAAGCCAGCAATGATCCTATAGGCAGCAGGGACGAACTGCGCAGGCACTATCTTAAGGCTCCTAAAAAGCTCCAAGTGAAAGCTATGCAGAGGGAAGAGAAGCCCGGCCATAACCGAGTCCAAGTGGACCACCACATAACCGGGCAGATGGCGCATGGGGTTGCGCAGGCGCCGATCATCATAGGCCCTCAGGGGGGTAAAACCACTGGCTGATCAGACGCCTATCAGCATTCGTCAAACGTTGGCATTGACGCCGAACGTAGGAGAAATTAAGGCTGTAACGGGGAGGCCGAGGCGGCATTCCCTGCTCATAAAATTACAAGTCATCACCGGAGGAACACCCATCGTCAAAATGGGCTTCGGAAGACATGGCAACAAGCGGTACCTTGGGATTTTGAGGCTCAACACGGCTCGTAGGAAGTCTAGAGAGAGAAAGCAATTGCGCAGCGTAAGGAGAAGTGTGAGTGAATCACATGGTTCTGGGTACTTATAGACAGCACCGTGGG